CAACAGCGCCGCCAACCCCATCATCTACAACTTCCTCAGTGGTGAGTGGGCTGAGGAGGCAGTGACTGAGGGCAGCCAATAGTCCCCGGGATGGTTCTCCTCATCCCCAATCCAGGACCCAAATAAAAGAGAGGAGGTGTGGTATACCTGCTCTCTCCTGGGCATTGTGACCCTGCTCTGGGAGCTCTCACTCAGAGGAGCCCTGCTCTAAGTGAGGGACAGGCCACACTCCCAGCAGTGGCCAGCACCCAGGATCCAGTTTTGCATATTTCACAGATGGTGAGTGAGTGGGAGGATGGGGGCTCACACTTGGGGCAGGCGCCACAGGACCTCTGAGCAGCCCTGCTCTGGTTGGCATAGCAGTGAGTCCGTCTTCCCCAGAGGCAGCCAGGCCTGTGGGAAGAGGGCCTAGGAGCCTCTGCCCGAGGGGCTGATTGCACAACCCAGGTGTTGGGGTAAGGAAGGGTCACCGGCAGAGACAGCCCAGGCCCAGGAAAGGGTTTCTCTGCCTAGCTGGACACACACAGGCAGAGGAGCCAGATCCTGGGGGCTATCCCTGAATCTACCTGTCTCTGGCACCAGTCCTCTCACTCTCCCCTCTGTGAGTCCTAGCCCCTCACTCCCACCGTGGGCCTCCTCTCTCTGCTGTCCCACAGTTCCCACCCCTTTCTCCTACTCCCAGTCTCAGAGTGGTAATTCCCCCTGCCACCCCCATGTCCAGCTTGGCTTAGCTTCGCAGAAGTGTGACTCACCATGCTCTGACTTTGGGACTAGGTTTCTAAACAACTGGTCCAGATGGCTATTTGTGCCTGGTCACAAATAATCTTTGAGAAATTGTCAAAAGGTTAAAGAAAAGATCAGAGCTTAACAGCATAACCGTTGCTGAGATTCAAGAATTACCCAGCAAAGGCTGCCCGCTGGTTGCCAGCTCAAAAGATAGAGCAGAAGAGATGAGCACTGCAGGGGAGGGAGGGCAGCAGACGTCCTGATGCCCATGGCTTTGGCCTGCATTGGCGGAGTACCTACTGCGTGCTTGGCTGATGACATGTAATCAAGGAAGTTTTAGTTCTACACAAAATCTGATTCCCTGGTATACAGGGCTGAACAAGGTGGTGCAGTAGTTCCTCCTTCCCCACTTGGTCCTGTCCTTTAAAAGGACTTTGGAATTATCACCAGGTTTAGTTTCTGACTAGGTGGCTTTGGGCAAGCTACTATAACTCTGTGTGTCTCTTCTGTGAAGTGAGGACAGCATACTCAAACCTGTCAGGATGCTGGGATGCTTTAGGGACAGAGGCTGAGGCACCCAGCACAATGCCTGGCACAGTGTGACTACCATATGCAAAGGCGGTGGCTGCTGTCATTTTCACCATCATAGAGCAGAGATGGTAAATGCCTAGCAACAGCTTAGCAAGGCCTGAGTCCTCTCCATGTATAAACCAAGGAGGGCAGAGGTGACCTGAGGCCCCTGAGCCAGACACCACGTTTTCAGCCAGGCTCTGAGCCAGTGCGCAGTCAAGGAATCAGATGACAATTGCATTTCTCCTTAGGAGCCTGCTCTGGGGACTCTGTCCTCTCTCCCTGGCAGAGGTGCCTCGGGGCTCTCCATTCCAGCTCTACCCCTCCCTCCCTGCCCCTCTCAGGCAGCTTGGCTGGAGCTGCGTGGGTGTCCCTGGGCTCAAGGCCCTTTTCCTGCTGCATTTGTCTCCTTATGGCTGTCTTTTGTCTCCCAACCAAGGCAAATTCCGGGAGCAGTTTAAGGCTGGCTTCTCCTGCTGCCTGCCTGGCCTGGGTCTCTGCGGCTCTCTGAAGGCCCCCAGTCCCCGCTCCTCTGCCTGCCACAAGTCCTTGTCCTTGCAGAGCCGGTGCTCTGTCTCCAAAGTCTCTGAGCACGTGGTGCTCACCAGCGTCACCACCGTGCTGCCCTGAGTGAGGTCTGCCTTGGAGGCTCTGGTTCAAGGGTGCAGCCTGTTCCCTGCCTGGGCCTCTCACTGGCCCCTAGGGAATCTGCCCATACTCTTCAAGGAAAGACTGCTGGATGCAGTGAGAGGTGAGGCCTCCAGTCCTGGTTTCCTGCCTGTGTGACTTTGGGGAAGTTACTTTCCCTCTCTGAGCTTGCATGTCCCCAAGGATGGTTGATGAGGATTAAGCACGCTCAAGAAAGCAGGAAGCTCTTTGTAAACTGCGGTGTTGTACACACGATTACTATACGTCTCTCACTTGGCCATACCTCTATGGTATCATCTATCCCCTTCATCCTTCCAGAGCTTGGCCTTTCTCCCAGACACCCCTCTCCTACCCAATTACAGCCCTTCCTTGGGACCTGCTCTAAAAATCCCAACAGGCATTTCCATCTGGTCCAGTGGCTCCCTAAAGCCCAGGGCTGCACTTGACCAGATGTTCTGATGCTTGTGTGAACTAATCTGGACCCAGCCCTTCTCCAGAGGACTGCGAGCACAGCCCCACCCTCGCCAGGTGCGGAGTGCACACAGCATAGACTGGACCTTGTTGGCTTTGTGGTGTGATAAAACACTCTCCATGGCCATTTGGCACAGAGGCCAGCAGCCCGAAGCAATTGTAATTAAAAGCCTGGCACTGAATGTTCCCTTTCCTTGTCATTGCACAAAATCTGTGCTGCTTGGGGGTTAGGAGTGGAGGAAGGTGGGAAAGCTGGGGGAAGGGGAGAAGACAAGAAGGCTCTGGAATGCTATTATTTGCTGACCCTCCCCAATTCCCCATCCCAGATGCACTTATAGCTCTTAGAGCACACAGTGCTGCCTCTTCAGGCTGTGCCCATGATGTGACGCCCAGGACCTTAATCCTTAACACATCTGCCTGCTCACAGGCCCAGTGGCCCCTGGCAGGTGGGAGATGGGGGGTATGATGGGCAGACAGCAGGTTTAACAGACCAATTTACTGCTATCCTCACCTTCTTGGAAATCAGGCTCAAATCTATTTTCTATGAACTCAAAGGATAAAAAGAGAAAGCCACAGACTTGGCCAGACGTGCTCCGTCTGCCACCAAGATGATTACAGGGCTGCCAAA